AGTTGTTAGGAAAATCTATGTAATTGCAAAAGTAATTTCAAGAACCTTAATAAAGTACTAGCGTGACTGCTTAAGTTTAAAAAAAAAAAAAAAAAAAAAAAAAAAAATGTATGCATTCTGCTATAATAGACTGATCTTTTTTACAATATATGCCAAACCTATTTATAAGAAAAATTGGCTAAAAAGTCACAAAAAGAATAAGTAAGATTGGCTGAAGATGCTAAAACAAAAGAATTTTAAATATTTATAATAAAAGTAAAAGCAAAGTTTTAAGATTATTAATATTAAAATTACCTTATATAGGTCATTTTATCTGCCAATATATTAAGAAAGATAGTTCAATCTGTAAGAAAGAATGCATAAGTGAATTAGGATATGCTAAACATTATAATGCTCTTCTTAGTACAATATGTCCTGTTTGTAAAAAGAAAACCTATTCCAATACTGGAATCTGTAGCAATTATAACAAAATTTATGATTATGCTTGGTATGGAAGTAAAAAAACTAAAACAGAATCTAATATGGTTAAGACTTAGCTGAATAATAATCTGGACTAAAGTATTATTTGTTTTGCTCTATAGAATCAAAGAGTTTCTGAATATCATTATCTGTTTTTAACCTATATAGTAGAAGTTCTAGAACACCTTTATCTTCAAAACTAAGACTATTATATGATTGCTGATTAATTTGATATAAATGTTTCCAAATTTGTTTTTCTTTAGGCCTTATTTTTTTCTATTTATCTTTACAGTATAGTTACATTAATTTTTAGCAATTGCATTAATTGTTCTTATAGCTAAATTAAGATCTGAAGAATAATAAGAATTAATTTAGAACTTCTATAAACTTCTTGCAAGATTGTGTGAATGTTTCTGATACTATATTACTAGAAAGAATATGGTTATCATCTATGCTAGTAAAGCCTAATATTTAAAAGAGTCTTTTTATAACTTTTCAATAATTAGCTGAATATGCTTTGTGCAAGTCCTCTACTATTGATTTCTTAGAATTATATTCAGCTTTATAATGGGTATCTTCTTATTGTACAATATCTTTGGCCTTTAATCCTTTTATTGCATTTTTTTCATTATAGCCTTGCTTTCAAAAGTAAGATAACTACAAGAAATGTTTTTGAAGTTCAGACAGACTGAAATGTTTTACAAACTTTTTATTACAAAGATTATCTTAAATTTTATTGTCCATATCTTTATCATAAATATTTCATATATAGAAACATTTAAGTGTCATAGTATCTGGAATAGAGCATTCTTAGTCAAACTTAAGATTTTTAGCTTCTTTAAGATTAAGATTTCAGGAAGTAGCAATTGCATCAAAATCTGTTTTCATGATAACTAATGCTTTAACTCGAACCTTATTGCAGACTTTTTTTATAGTTTTTTATAACACCTTAGCTTTCATCTATTTTTATTAGCTAAAGAGAAGTACTAGTACTGGTTATAAAACTACAAAGCTTCTTAATAAAGTATCTCACAGAAAGGCATTTCTGATGCTCAACTTTAATAAATATTATTATAGCAAAAGATTTATTGATTTTATAAAAAATAATGTTGTTATCCTATTCACAATAACTTTTTATTGCTATAAGTAAGTTATTAGACTAAGAACTAGCAAGTTTTGTTCAAATATTTTTATGATCTGATAGGTAAAAAAGCCCATTAGAATTTTTTTAATAGAATAGAAAAACAATATAACAAGAACAGTTATGAATTCAATAAAACATTTGTGCAAGAGCCTTAACATGAACTAGAATAGTGATATTTGTAATAGCTATAACTATATTGAAGTGGTCTGTAATCTTGAATAATATTTTTGCCTTTATTGTATTTGTATAAGCTATATAGTCAAGCTCACTTCAAGTAACATTAATATTAGAAAAGTCTTTTTGTCATGTTTTTCATCTATATCTCTATAATATGTATAAGCTCTAACAGATGAATTATCAAACTTAAACAACTTAAATGCTTTTTCTACTAATACTCTAGCCATTACTACTCTGGTAGATACAAATGCCACATGCTTACTCTGCCTTAAAAGGTCATATCTTATTCATATGACTTCTGTTCCACTATTTGGATTATAAATAAATTCAATCATCTCACCTATATGAGGCTAATATTTATTATTGATTATGCAAATATTTTTACTATAATAAATCTGAAGAAAGATTAGTGCTAAGATATTTGTGAAGGCATCTATAGCCAAAACATGCATTGCATTTTCAGATTTTTATGCATTTGTACTGCTAGACATTTGGTACATAATGGCATTAGCTTTATTAAGAATAGTTACAACTGGATGGGCTGTGAATTTAATACAAAAAAGGCTCTCAATCTGTATTATGATAATATCCCATACATTTAAAGATAAGTTTTCTTGCATATTTTGGTAGTTGCAAATTCAGAAGCCAGATGCTTTTAACTCATTAAGTTTTAATTTTAATTCATTGCTAAAAGACTTTTGATAAGAGACCTAAATATAGCATGATAAAGAAAAAATATCATGTATTTTATTTTTTAATGCTATAATAATCTCTTTTAATATAGTAGTTTTTCATGTTCTTAGAGAAAAATGAATAAGTGTTGTTATTTTCTTAATACTCAAGAAATCAGAATATACTTTCAGAGAATTCTTTAATTTTTCTACATTAATTGCTATTGCTAATAATTTTATAAGAGGATATGGATTTGATATAGCATTATCTATTCTTTTGACTATTCTTCTTTTAGGTTTTGTAAAAATTTTAGTTACTTTTCCAAATACTAATTTCTTATAATTTGATTTATAATTTTTCTGCTAATAGTATTTAAGTACAAAATAGTTGTTATTTTGTAAATAGCTATATAATTAATCTTTTTTATATTTGATTCTGCAAATAGGACATGCTTCATATAATTTTGCTTAGAAATTAACAAATCTCTTTCTAATATGACTAATTTCAAGTTATTTATATTTTGATATAACTAAATTAGCTATCTTACTTAAAGTGGTTTCATCTTCAATAGGTTAGAATTCATTCTTTTTTGATTTTTCAGAAGAAAAGGTTTAGGGCCAGATTTCAGAATAATTGGATTTAGGCTGAACTAAATAATTTTTTAGCTTATGATATTCTTGTTTAACTGAAGAAATCATAGATCTTTTAACTCTATCTTCCTTTGCTGATCCAAGAAGATAAAGGTTATAATATAATTTATAAAACCTAATATCAATAAAATCCAAGTATAGTTTTTCAACCCTATTAGCAACTTTTTTCACAAATTTTCTAAGGTCTCTATAATTAACAAACTGTACATATTTATATACAATATGCCAACTACATTTATTAGCATTAGATAAACTGGTTAAAGTAAAAGCATTTAAAGGTACAAGATGTTTTAAATCAGAGTATATAATATTAACATAGGTGATTAAGATTCTAAATAATAAATCTTTATGAAAAATTTTATTTTTATTTAAGAAAAGAAATTCAAAATTCATTGTATCAAGCTTTTGCTTCACATCAATATCCAGAATCAGGCAGAAAGGCAGATTTTTATCAATACATTTGTGAGCATTAGAGATTCTATAAATTTCAAACAAGTAATCAATTAGTGTAAATCTCTTTTCTAATATTCAGATTATATATTTAAAGTAAATTTTTTCAGAATGATAGACTTCTAAAAAGGCTACACCCTCTCTATTATTAAATGCCAATAAATATTAAATATATATATGATAACTATAGTCAGGCTCAAAATCAAGATCTACTAAATTAAAGAAGAGCCAAGTTGTTTTATTTATTATACTGGAGCTAGGCTCAAGCTTTTTTTGCATAAGCATAATAGTATATACAAGAAACTAGTATAAAATAATAAAGAAACTAGTAAAGTTCAAAATAAAAAATATAATATATATAACTTAAAAATAAAAAAATATGTAAAGCTAACCTTCAAACTAATTATTAACAAGAATATGCAATAAATATACTAAATTATACTTGAATGATTTATTAATATAATAATATTTCAAAGTAATCAGATATAGGTATATCTCAAGGTAATAAATATGCAGAAAGAAGGTTTAGAAGCAAACACAAGTGAAAAATAGTAGGCTATTCAAGCAGAATTATATAAAAAAAAGAAGAAAAAAGTTATATTTGAGTGGTCTACTACTAATAGGGAAAAAAAAAATTGAAAAAGCAAAAAGGTTTAGAAGAATATATGAAAAAAGATATAAAAACAATATAGTCTAAACTAATTTGACACTTTATACCTTATTCTTGATAATCAAAATAGTCATAAACATGATTGCAAAATTAGCATAACATTGGCACTTTATATCTGACTGACAATTAAAAAGTAAGTGAATAGATTGTAATATATCTTTACCAAACAAATTTGGCACTTTATGTCTTATCTGACAATTAAATGAGCTGGCTATAATAATGCCTATTATATCAAACTTTTGAAAGTTATTTAAAAATTATTTGAAAGTGACAGAAAAGTGCTTGAAACTGACAAAGAACTAAAACAATGACCAGTATAGTAAGGCACAGTAAATTTTGCTAATTTTGGCCAACACTATTTTATATTATTTTTAAATATTTGAAATGCAATATCTCAACATACAGGTATTTAATTTATGTAATCTTGGTATCATTAAAAAGCTCTTATCATTCTCTTTTAAATAACTACAAAACTACATGAAACCAATCACAGAAAGCCAAGATATTTTGCTCTAAAGATCAGCCAAAAATTATGTTATAATGTTAACCAAAATCTGATTAGCAAATTAATTATGTTACTGATTACAACATGATTTTTAGCAATTAATGTTGGGCTGGTATTTTGACTACAAAAAGATCACAAAACAATAAAACCAAGCAGATAACTAGAAAGTAATAAAAAGAGAATAGAGCAATAAAAACAAGCAAATATTTATAAAACAATAAAATAATCATAAAACAGTAAAAAGAGTAACTAAATAACATTATACTCATAATTAGATAACATTATAGTACAACTGAATAACACTTTTATAAAAGTGTTATCTAGTAATAACATGTTGTAAATTCTATTGTTCTGTAATCTAATCAAATAATTTTTTTTCAATTTCTAAATAATAAAGCAATTTTCTGTTATATAGTTTAAAAATATTTAGTGATACTTTAACTAACTTATTTTTTTTGTTTATTTATTTATATAATTGTTTAGATTGAATATTAAATTTTCTACATGTTTTTTTAATAGTTGTTTGATTTTTTTTATAATTTGTGATAATATTTAATTTTTTTTTCACATTCTATTTGTTTTTTAGTTTTTTAATTATACAAGTTTTTGTAATGCTTTTATTACTTAAAATAACCATTTTATAAGAATATTATTTTTTTTAAAAAAATAATTCTTTATATAATAATCTTGTATGATTAATAAAATTTTATTTCATCTTTATTAAGTTTATTACAATTGCTATATCAATATTGTATGCAAAATGGACAAGATAAAAAGTATAGAAAACAAATATTACAACAGTTAATAATGATTAGGAAAATTTTTTTTTAGTGATTCAATAATAATGGTTTAAATGACTAGTATTATGCAAAATAATTGTTGATGTAACATTAATATAATTGTTCTTATAACACAATTGTCAAAAAAAATTTGAGAATGGTACATTATGCAGCTAATATGCATCGTGGTAATATTCATACTGGGGAGGTACTTTAGACCATGAAATACGGTACTAATAAAGATATTAGCAAAATCTCATTTTAATATCAAAAAAAAAAAAATGCAACCTAAATATATATGTATAATAAATTAATGTTATTTTTTATAATTAAAATAAGTTCGATATAAGACATTACAGGCAGAGCAATAGTCTGTGTGTTAACAAAATTTTAAATTTTGATTGGCTAGGTCAAATGTAACGTAAAAAATCAAAACGATCAATGACCAATGCTTATTGGCTAGATCAGGTGTAACATAAAACAAAAATCCTTTGGACTTTAATGCCTTCGTTATGACAAGGTTATACAGTATAAACTTTTATAATTTGTTATATTAGTAACGTATATACTGTATCAGAAGTAATTAATTACCTATATTATACAACAATATTTTTTTTTTGATTAAAAATTATTTTATTTTGAATAAGTGCAATTGACTCTGGATACAACGAATCTTTCTATAACGAATATAAAATTTGGAATTTCATAATAGATCTATCTATATAAAAGGAACCATGAGTTCTTAAGAAAATAGTAATTTTTCTATAATGAACATCCAGAATCACAGTTCGTTATGGAAAGAATTGTACGTACGTATATATTTTATAATCAATATATATTAAAGATATTCATTACGTGTATTTCTACGTAGTCCTAATATGCACCAGTCCAACGTTAATGCATAAATAATAAGTCAAGTCATACCGATAGCTTAGTTAATTTATTTAAAATAAAGTACGTACGTATATAATATGAAGTAGGAGTTTATGCATAAAAAAAACGATTTTCAAAAATTGTAACCAGTTTTAAAATCTGATGAGCAGAGTTTGTTTTAAGAGGAAGCAGGACCCGAACTAGTAAACAGGCTTTGAAGAAGGTTATTTAGGTAAGAATTAGCCACTTATGAAGAAAATTTTTGGTATGTACCCTACATACAAATACTGTAAATACTGTATGTAGGTAAATGCGTAGATAAATAGGGTAGGTAAATACGTACGTAGGAAAAGTAAAGCACGTACGTATGTAAGTACGTACGTCACACATCACACCATTATTATTTATCATTTAATACGTAATAAAAATTTAATTTTAAAATCCAAATTTTAAACAATTTCTTTGAGTATGATTATCGAAAATGATGTGATCAAAGATAAGATAAATTTGATAAAGTGTGTACAGTATAATTTTTAATAAACAGATAGTTTCAATAAAAACCAGTTAGGTAAAAATTAAAGCCGAGACCAGTTAATATGACGGACCAAGCCGAATACGGAATCGGCTAATAACTTTTCAAGAAAAAATAAAGAAAAGATTGTACGTATGTATGTACGTAAGAAATAAAATATAATACGTAATATAATATATAATTAATAAAATAACAATAAAAATAGGATATAATAATATAATAATAAATAGAATATAATAATATAATTAATATAATATTGTAATATAATAAACATCAACAATACGCATAAAGATAAATGCATAAATGTACGTACATATATAAGTACATAAGAACATAAATGCATTAATGAGCAAAGTAAGTAAAAAAAGCAAAAAAGCCAAAAAAGCAAGGGAAGAATACAACAATAAGAAAGCGCCACCTCCACCGACAAAGCTTCCCCAGATAGAAAAAACACGGTTATCATGCTTAATCTATAAAATCAATCAAATTATAAAACAAGACATTCATTTCCGAAAGTAGAACGCACACGGACACGAAAGGTACAAATGGTAGTAAGGTGTAGATAGTACAAATTAATCATTTAAACAGAACCTGCAATTACGTATGAATAATTATAAAGGAAAAGCAAAAAAAACTAAGTTTAAAAGGCGGATTAAATATTTGTTTAACATGAAAATACAGTTTGTTTTTAGTAACACAAGATTAGAGTAAATTAATATGTAAAAGATTATATAAGATTATATAATATAGACATTCTCCACACATTTATTGACCAAAATAAGAATTGATAAAAAGGCGTAACAATTGATAAAGAAAATGAAGCTTTTTTTGGATAGAAAGAAGATAACACATATTGTATATAGTGTAAGTAATGGAAAGACAGAGTCGGGAACCAGTCAGAGACCTAACACGTTATGATATATATATATATATTTTTTTTAGGAATTAAATTTTATAGGTGCATTTAAAAAAAGCATTTACGAGTTATCGTTATCTTGCATTAGTTAAATTTGGAGGTAACTATCTTTGGTAGATTGATTATGCACGATGAATATATATAAATATATAAATAAATAATGTAATAGTATATAATGCAGACTGTGTGAATGTGAATAAGAACGAACATATGGCATCAATTGATTGGTTAATAATAATAAGTAATATATATTAATATTAATATATATTATATACTTAATAGTTACAGTTAATAGTTGTTACGTTTTATACAGTAATACATGTGAAGAGAAACGACACTTAAATTATTATTATTATTAATAAATATACGTAATATTATTTCTCAAGCACAATGATATCATTAACTTCTAAAATAGGATAATCTTATAAATGATGATTTTTATTATCTGATCGTAACACTAAATAAAGGTGATCTTCTATCGATTTTCCAAATTAATTTTATTTGTACTTTTTCGAGGCAAAGTTTTATTCCTGAGAAAATACGAACGGAATTTTTGTTTATTTTATCATTTGTAAAATACAACAAAGGCACTTTCGCCCTATTCAATCTTAAGGTACACGATTGACACAAGATTGACACGAATTAGACAAAGGGTACATAATAATCACGTACAATAATCACATGAGTAGTAGACGTTGTTTATTGTTCAACATTTGTGATTATTTTATCAGATTATATATTTATTAAAAATTGTAAAAGGAAGTTACAAATATCATACGATAATTAAGGAACAATTGTGTGAAATATCAAGATTATCGATTATATCATTCGCATCATTTGATAATCTTATATCACATGTATCGTTAATGTATTATAACGTATTATAATATATCATTAAAATGTTATAATTTTTTTTTAATGAAAATCATCCAAGTGAATCTATATTGTGGATCTATGAATTTATGAAATATATAATTCTATGAATGTCAAAATGAATTTAAGAAATACAAGAAAATATAAAAGGATTTATTAAAAAAAATTTATTAAAAAAATTTATTAAAAGAATTTATAAAAGAATTTATAAAAGAATTGATAAGCAAAACAGCATTCAAATTGTATTCAAATTGTATTTAAACTTTTATAAATTGAAAAATACCAAAAACGAAAAACGAGATTTTTAAAGGAAGATCAAATGCGTCACAAGAAACAATAAAATTTGATCGACCCGAGAAAATAAATGTATTGAGAAATGATCATGCAAGATAAAGTATGTTGAATTTATTTGACATATTAATTTTTTTATTTATAAACAATAATTTGAGAACGGTACTGACCCACATCCACGTCCCACATCACGGAATGTAATTATGTGGGGGTGAGCATAAAAACAACTGGCCAAGAAATCCAAGAAATCCAAATAAAATAAATAAATATATATATATAATGTATATATATCTGATTAACACATATATATCTGATTAACATATATATATATATCTGATATACACATATATATTGATATATATATATATATTTGATTTTGATAAGCCTTCAAAGGAAATCTTGTGTTTAAACTTTGTTTGAAGATCAAATGTTAGAAAATAAGAACTTTTTTTTTTTTTTTTTTACAGGAATCCTTATCTATGTTGGCGACACAGAACGAGTAGATTAACGTTTGGTTCAACGATAGTAGATAGCTAAAGTGCTGTCAATACCAGACTCAAGTATTTTTATTGGCCCTAAAAAGGTTTATTACAATCATATGTATTGTACGTTATCTTGCATAATGCGATTGCCAATGGAAGTTAAGACTTCGCCTCATCAGGTTCATTCCTAATTAGATCGTTATGGTTTTTCCACGTTCCTCTACATTATATCACTCTCTTTTAATTCTTTTTTCTTTCGTGTTTTATTAAAACATTACGAATCTAGATTTGTTGGATTGCTAAATTTGCCGCGTGATCGCTTTACATTTTATGAATCAATGAATCACATGAATATAGCTTGATGATTTATTTGATATCAATTTTCCTGTATTTTCTCAATCTTCAATACAGCAATACACGTACAGCAATACGTACAGCAATACGTACGTAGTGATATTTCATACTAATATTATTGATTTATATGTATTTAAAATTATATATATATATCGATATTTGTATTTAAATATAAATATATATATATATATATATATATGTATTTAAATATATATATTATATACGTAGCCACCTTTTTTATATCAAAGTATCCAATTAAATTAGCTTTCCCTATTCATGCTGATTGATTTGATTGATAATTTAACATGAACAGAGCACGTTTGAACCGTACCCCGCCACCTTGCCTAAATCGTAACGATCAAGATATAGTCTATCAACTTTAATTTTTATTTTTAAGTGCTATTGTATTTTCATCTATCACATCATTATCATAATATAAAAAAAAAAAAAATCTATAATATATCGTAGACATATATATATTTCATTTATTGTACATTGATACATTGTCGAAATACAAAATATTAATATAATAATAATAATAATAATAATAATAATAATAATATAATAATATCGATAATAATATAATAATATAATAGTATAATAATATCGATAATAATATAATAATATAATAATAATATCGATAAGAAATACATATAAACATATAATTTGATATTTAATTGATTTATAGTATAATTTTAGTATATTTATGGTATAGTCATAGTATAACTTTTTGCAATAATCGGATATTTCAATAAGAATTAATTGGTAAGCTTAGTAAAATGCATTACGAAAAAAAAAACAAATAAAGTAACCAAAGATAAGCCCAATTTAGTTATCTTTGTCACTTATTAGTCGATAAACAAACTTCAACTTCGGAAATTCTGTTGGTTTATTTTCGGTGATAAGCATTTGTCCATCCTGCTGACCTCTTCTAATCTTTCTAGTCCATTACTTTTTTCATCTCATGTGATAAATTATCCTGTTATCGGAGATCTTTTATATAATGTATTCTTGATTTACAGAATATTTACTTTATAAAGGTTTGATGGTCCTCCGTATAAATGGAATTGATAGTTTATGTGCATTATCTTACGTTACTCGGGTTTAAATGACCCTTGAATGAGAAAAAAAATACTTAATCACAGATATCTAGATTAAGTATCATATCACGTTTTACTTTATTCCATATATAAATAAAATACACTATTTGAAATTATTTATTTATTTGTTTCATCTTATCTATATGTGTGTTACGTAAAATTTTTTTTTTTTTGCCCATCACCCATCATCAATCAATCGCCCTTATCTATATTATATATTATTTTATATACGCCTGATTATATAAAAAGCTCTATCATTTGCCTTTCCCCATTTTTTGTGTTCGATTTTATTTTTTTATTTAAGTAGAAACTTTGAAGTATTTTTTACTCGAAGTGTTTCTTTATATTCTACTACTACTATTCTTTATTCTTTATATTACTTGACTTGACTTGACTGATATTTGATAGTCCTACAAACTACTACTACTACTATATACACCGCATTCTTTTATCGAGAGTGTTATATATATTTTTTTTAATTAAGTAACTAATAAATTTTTGATTATATTTCGTAAAAAATAATTAAATTTCGCTATTCATAGCGTCTCAAATGCATAACTGGACTTCAATAACGAAATACTCCAGACCTGCAACTACTGATCGCTCTTTAGCTTTATACCACATTGAAAGCCCTACCTTCATTTAAAGTTAGAGTTCGGTAACCTTTACGTTCGCAGATAAATTCCTTTCCTACAAAAGTAATATTGTTACTTCTCTTGTAGAAGTATAACACCACACCCTTTCGCGCAAATCAAATTTTGTTTTACTCCACAACTTTTTTTTTTTTTAAAAAAAAAAAAAAACCCAAAGTCAAAAAAATAATTTTTCGAAAAAAAAAACTTAACAAAAACAAATTTTATCAACATTAATATAAAAAAAAAAAAGCTTTTTTTTAAAAAAATACTTTTTTTCTCTCTGAAAACCTCTTGGATTATATACAAGATCTTCCTTTTTTTAAAAACAAATAAAGATTATTGACATGGATATGAAAACTCCACCACACAATAATTCCGCTGTTCAACCTGCGAATTTGTCTCAATCGAACTCTGACAATTATCGTCATTCCACTATTCATCAACAAATTCAACATCAGCCAAATCAGCAGCAACAACAGCATATGTTACAGCAAACTGTTCAAGATTTACCTTCAATTAATCGAAAAGGTTCTGCTGGTTCTATTTCTCCCCGCTCTTGTAATAGAACGGAAGGTCAGGGCGTTTCTGCCACTGTCTGCGCCAATTGTGGTACGACAACAACGCCACTTTGGAGGAGGGCTCCTAACGGAGAGACGATTTGTAATGCTTGTGGTTAGTTTCTTTAATAATAAATAAATAAAATAAATAAATAAATAGATAATATAATATAAAAATTTGATAAATTTAACTTCTTATTTCTTATTTCTACATTAGGACTCTATCTCAAGGCAAGAAATACTGTTCGCCCACCTTGGTTGAAACGTAATGCTATCAAGAAATCAACTCCTGCTGTCACTGAAACTCCTGATAATACCACCAATGGCACTTGCCCCGGTGATGGTCATTGTGATGGAACTGGTGGCTCCAGCTCTTGTGATGGTTGCCCTGCTTTCAACCAACATCAAGTTAATCGTCAAGCCTTGATCTGCGCGAATTGTGGTACAAACACCACTCCTTTGTGGAGAAGGGACGAATCTGGGAATACTATTTGTAATGCTTGTGGTTCGTATTTAAAATTTATGTTTAAAAGATATATTTAAAATTTTATATTTAAAAAAAATTATATTTATTAACTATTATTTCCAAATTAATTAATTTTATTAATTAGGTCTGTACTTTAAACTTCACAATGTTCACCGTCCCGTGACCATGAAGAGGTCTGTCATTAAGCGTCGTAAGCGTGTCGCTTTGGCTACTTCGCCTCCCCCACCAACTAATCAATCTGGGGGTTCAGACAATGAACATTCCTCCTCTCGTAAGAGCCGTATTCATCATCCTCCTACTCCCGCTTCTACTTCCGGTTCTGAGCGTGGTTACATTTCTTCGGATGATGAAACTACTATTGATGATTTTTCTTTGTCTAATCGTAAAAGAAAAGTTGACGACCATTCCATCTCTAACAAGCGTCGTTGTAACTCAAATAACATTAGACAAGTTCCTCCTATTGAAGATTATGTTTGCAATAAACTTAGTGGTGCTATGTGGGATGATCGTAGAAGAGAGAGTTTAACTCCTGTGGAACCAATTTTACAAAATCAAGTCCATATTCATCAAAATAATGTTGCATTCAATAACAATCGTACTATGGGCACTCCTAGCGTTCCATTACCTTCTGTCTTTCCTTCTCAATATAATGATGGTTCCAGTTCTCCTAGTCATAACTCTTCAATCTCCTCTTTATTGAACCCATCTACTTCTGCTAGTAATGGTCTTCCTCAATTACCTCCTCTTAGTTCTATTCCTTCTAATATTCCTTCTGCAAACATGGTTTCTTCTAGTCCTCCTCATATGAGTGGTTTACCTATTTCTAATCATCAACCACAATCTAAAATTACTCAGCAACTCTTGAATCATCGTCATGAGTTACAGAGTGAAGTTTCTCGTCTCAATATGCTTCTTAGTAAAACTACCGCCATTTTGGTTGACTTGGATAAAGCTATTGTTAATGGATCTATTCCTAATACTCCTTATGGATCACCTGATAAATCTTTGGCTAACAATGGCAATAATTATGGTATGCCTACGCCTCCTCCTTCTGATGGTCATAATATTTATATGACTTTACCTCCACTTACTCCTTCGGGTTCTCCAGATTCTCGTTAAAATTATCTTTTCGATTTACATATATATATATATATCTTTGAACTTATATTTTGCTGTATTATTGTTTGTTTTTTTTTTAAAAAAAAATCACTACTTTCTTTATTATTGGGCTTTCGATGTGGTTTTTTATATCAGTCAAAAAATGGTCTGGTTTTGTAATATACATAATTTTAATAATTTGTGCATCATTTTTTCATTTCAAAAAATATGTTGATAAACTTTTTAAATAATCAAAAAAATATATTAGAATAAAAATCAAAAAAAAAAAAACCAAAAAAATTCAAAATTTTTTAAATCTTTTAATCCTTTTGTCATTCTTTTTTCTTTGTTGATATAATTACAAGATATAATTTCAACTTTATAATTTCAACTTGAAGAAAAATAAATTTTGGGCAGATTTGAAAAAAAAGTGAGTACACTTTTATTTTCATAATGCAATTAATGTATTCTGTAAATATCAACGTATGCCAACGTATGTTTATTATACAATATTATTAGTTGGATCAACCATATATATCGCTAATACGAACCACCAAACAACCACGACCGATACATATGCTTTTTTTTTTATGTGTTAAATAAATAGTAGTTTATCAATCATGTTTTTATAAATGGGTTATTTGTTTTCTTTCGTGATTTTATTTTTGGGATTTTTGGTTGACTTTTTATTTACCTATACACATATTTTACCTATACAATATACTTTACCTATATTTTACATACGTCTATTACACGTATTAATGTTTTTTTTCTATTAATATACATTTAATATCTTTATTTCTTTGGGTTTCACATTTGAGAAAACTTTAGCCTATTATTTTTTAACTATATGGTTTAATTCTTTACCTTTGTTTTTTTTTTTTTTTTACTCTAGTAGAGACAAAATCAAATGACCTATTTTGACTTGCCTATATATAGACTTTCATTTATGATATTTGCGAAATTTTAAGTTCATTGATTTATTATTACAAAGTATCCAGAGTATAATATATATATATATATATACATTAAGCATATTTTCTTTTGATGACTTTTTTTTTTTAAAAAAAAATGTTAATTTGTTATTCTTTTTACGTATTTTTTTTTTATTAAATAAAGAAAATGGATTGGCATTATTTTTTGTTCTATAAAAAGCGTAGTACGATGGTATATTGAAGTATATAGTTTTCATTCATGATCATGGTTAAAAAGTTAGAATAATTCGATATTTTACTTTGTCTTAATTATCACTTTATACGTACGTATACGTACACTTCAAAGATTCATTTATTTTGTGTACAAACCCAATAAAGGAAATTTAAAAGATTTACTTGCGTTTTAAGTGTTATGTATGTATGTATGTATGTATTGAAAAACTTAACGTTTAATGTAGTGTAAATAAATGACGTTCTTATATATGCACACACGTAAATATTTATGAGTTCTTTATAACTATATACATAAAAGAAAAAATAAATCGTAAATGCTTATCATAGTTATCTAAATTAGTTGATTTATTTAAAGATGTTTATATAGTTATTAATTGGTTTAAGATTAAATCTTTTTAAAACTATACGATTAAAACTTTTAACATTTATTATTAATATAAAATAATATGAATTCAACGTTGTTTATTTCGTCTTAATTCAATACTATCTTGTTGAACATTTTTGTTAATATATGTATAAAACAGGAACAGGATAAAAAAAAAAACCATACATGAAGAATGTAGACTGAATTATCTAGTAATTGCTTTGAAAATTATTTAATCACTCAGTTTCCAACTTTTCAATCAATTTTTAATCAATTGCTACTGTCACTGATGACAAGTAATACGTAGTAAAGTCTTGTTAAAATGTTATGTGACAACGATATTTTTTTTTCAAAAAAAAAGTGTGAATATATAATTATGATGAAACAAAATATTGTAAATTGTTCTTTAATGCCAAAGTCTATAAAATAAATAATAAAATCGACAACACATGATTTAAATTTCTATGCATGTGGATTAAAATCTGTAGTAGAAATACTAGCGACTGTTAATGTTGAAAGACTAGGTGCTGGTGTTATACGTTTGAATTTTTTTTCAAGTTTTCGAGCATAAGAAGATGAAACTCTAGCGAACAATACCTGAAAAAAAAAAAGAATATGTAATAAAAATTAATACATATCAAATATATTTTCAAACTTTTGAGACATATATACTTACACTAAACAATATTAATAATAACGCTACAATTACATTTCGCACAACAAGTATGGTCTCATTATGTGTACAAATCTCCGTATCAATTTGTAATGACTCACTTATAGCATTACTATCTGGTTGTTTTTGTAAATTTTGAATACAGTTATCAATCTCGTATTGCCTATTCTGAACTAAATTAACAATAATAATAATAGCAATAATTATATTGACTATGACAAAACCCCATAACATATTAGAAAACACACGAACAGCAGTTGAAATTTCCTATTTAAATGAATCATTAATTAGTTATTAGTTATAATAATAAAATAATAATAATAATAATAATAAAATAGATTCATAAAAATTAATGAATGCTAACAAAAAGTGAACCAACGATTCCAAATAAGGAGACCAATGCCATGATAATGAATGCTATACCGAATACCAAAGTGAGTCCCCTTGACATATCGGGTACATAATCTAATAATATATATATATATATAATATTAATAATCTTACAAAAAATTACGCGATATAAATTACATACCTTCTGGTTTTGCTAGATAAATTACTGCGAACCATGAGGAAATGAACTATATAAAATAAATACATAGATTTATAAAATATTACATGTATAAAATAATTCATGTCACCGTTAACATTTAAAAAATAAATAATAATTCATGTATATATATTCACATTATTAATTCATATTCATATTAGTTTATAGATATTTAGAAGAAAAACAAAATAATAAATATATATATGTGTATCAATAAAAATAGGACAAAAATTTTTTTTCAAGTTTTTCTTGACTTTAAACTTAAATATTTCAACAACTATCAAACAAAATTAATAATATTTGATTAAATAATTAGTTATTGAGATATTTCAATTTAATTTTTTTTTAAAAAAATTGATTTGTCCTATTTCTATTTTTATTAACTTCCTTCCATATATTTAATTAATACTTACAAAACTGACTGCTGCAAAAATAATCGTACTATAACGAAGAGAAATACGAGGAATACTAAAAAAAAATTTTGACAGATTTGTGGAAAACTTGTATTATTATAATTCATCTATGAAATATAAGGAAATAATATAAAATCACTTACCACCAACACCAAAATTCAACCATTTTGATTTTGATTTTTTAAAAAAAACTGCATCTAGTATATTTAATGAAAACAGAGAGAACTTTAAATTTACGAGAAAATTTTTGAAAGAGCTTGAGGCTTAACAATCATTCAACTTGAATTAAACCTGTATTCCAACAATACAATTTTTTTTAAAAAAAAATTGGCTTTGCTAGGGTAAAATACATATACATATATATGTACGCATGTACACGGCTTTGCTATAACCATAAATTACAAAAATGTTAAATGAAAACAAAGTTCCGGCCAGATCAAATCTTTAAAAATACGACTTCAACTATATTTGGCTGTATTTTGACGAGCCTTATGCTTGATAAAGATAAAAATAATTCCTTGCAAAACAGATCAAACTTGCATAAAAAAAAAAAAAAATGTACAATGAATCAAAACAAACAATGGTTAAACCAATTATCTATTCAAATTGAAAAATGTCAATAAGAAACTTAAATCTTTTTTCTTATTAAAAGATTTGACGAAAAATGATTAAAGATATATGGTTCTACTAACGCTGATATTATCCTAAATTAACATATTCAAAATTTTATTTCATTTGAATTTTTAAATGCGTACAAAAAAAAATAAAAACTATCAAAATTTCGCATAGCCTTTCTCATAAAAGTATTCGTAATAAATAAATAAATAAAAACAGCCACAAGTAATTCACTGCCTCAGTTTAATGCTAAAAATGGTTTAATTTAAACTTACCACGTGATTTTATGGTTGTCCCTTTCTATTTTTTTTTTTAAAGATAACCTCTTTGGTCGACGATTTTATTAGCATTAAATATAATATTGCACTTTTGGAAACTACCTACATACTTACGTACGTGTTAATTTACAGGAACAAGAATACAGTACAACTTTGGTTATTACCTATTTAAGGAATAAGTTGTCTACTTGCTGCCATACCTGAAATCCGTTTGCGAATTTCGATAGTGATAGCGATAGGGGATTTTTTTTCACCTATCACTATATTTTAAGAATTATATATACAGTATGGGCTAGATACTGAGAAAAGGGATCAAATTGAAAATTTTTCAAAATGAATTTTTTTAAGCTTAATTAATTTAAAAATTAGCTCAGGAACATTTCTGAACTACGTAGCTATCTTTTTAAGTTAAACCATTCCTTAATGTTTTCATAAATATCCAAAGCCAAGGTTGTCTTTTGTGGATTTGAATCCATATATCGTATTGCTAATTCAACATAGCAATTAATTGGGTGTTCCGGATGCAAATCTTGACTGCAAATTTTATATCAAATTCATGACCATAAAAAGGTCTTTGACCGGTTGCTATTTCAACCATAATAATAACGAAACCATATATATCAGCTTGTTGTGTAAACTTCGCTTTACCTCCTGAGCAACATAGGGCATGACACCATAAATATCACTTTCCAAAGCATACTCACCTCTCTTTCCTAGATCCGTTATATACGAGTATTTATCTTGCAAAATGTTGCCACTATGAAAATCAGCATGGATGTTATCCAAATCATCCGAAATATCTTTAAGTATTCGAAATTAATTCTGTCATGTAAGTGCACTAAAATTCATTCTTAAATATTTATAAAGATTTCCATCATTAGCATACTGAAATATCAAAAAGTATTTGTTTGTTTCTGTGTTTTTGAGTTATTCCATATATGTTGCAAGCTTACTAAGATTTAATTTACATGTCATAAAACTTTTAAACTTAATGTAAAGATTACGTTAAGGTTTAAATAATAAATTAGATCAATCTCTATTAGATAAATTATAAAATCAAATAGTTAATTATAACTTACTTTTCTTTAAAAAATCAAAATTATTTTCCTTAGAACTTGACAATGTTTTGAGTGCAACTATACTTGATGGTTCACGCGCTCTTACATCCATCCAACCAGATTACTGAATGTACAGAGCCGAATCCTCCTTTGTCAATTTCTTTAATATTGATTGATTTATTAAATGGAATCCAATCAATTGCGTTCTCATATTTAAAGGTTCTAAGTTGAAATTCTCTGACGCAATCATCAATATCTTCATTATGACTTTTCCATCTTTGACTAGTTATGTCAGGATCACATGACTGACATCATGCCTGACACCATGCTTCGCTCGTATTATCTTCATTATACACAATGCACACATTTTCCATATTTAGAATCGCTTTATAATTATAATGATATATAGTATTTTATTTCATCTACTACATGGGTAAGTCCGTAACGTTATGAGTATTCGGGCAAAATTTCTTAAATTGAAATATCGATGTTCAATCAATTTTAATAATTAAACTTTGAACAAGAATTATAATAAATAGTTATATGATATTATGTGACAAGACTTGTGCTAAGTGTAGAGCATCTGCTCAAGGATATGACCCAACGAATTATCAAAGTTTGATCAAAAGTGCCCGAATACTCATAACGGTACGGACTGACCCACATGTTATTCTAAACTTTATATCAAATATAAATAGTTTTATACTTACCGACTTAAATTAATGTTGAATGAAATGATTTGAAGGATATTACATAATGGTAAATAAATATTTATGTACTTGATTTGTGATTAATTTCAATGATTAATAAATGTTCTTTATAAATAAATTAATCCGAATGAAATAATTTGAAAGTATGTTAGATAATGGTAAGTATTTATATTTTTGATTGGTAAAATTTGTTTTTTAATTCAAACGATTAATAAATATTCTTTATTAATCACTCACTGAATGAATTATTATTACAAATGAAATGATTTGATGAGTATTACATAATGATATATATATAAGTATTTATGTTCTTAATTTGTAAATTTGTTTTTAATTCCAATCAATTAATTAAGAGTATTAGATAATGGTAAATAAAGATTTATTTGTGAATTCTAATGATTAATAAATATTCTTTATACTCAATAACTAAACTAATGCGAATGAAATGATTTGAAGGGTATTAGATAATAGTAAATAAAATATTTATGTTCTTGATTTGTGAATTTGTTTTTAGTTCCAGTGATGAATAAATATTTCTTTATACTTACGAGCTAAATTAACACAAAGAATTAATATTTATGAAAACATTCCCGACTCTTTAAAATAATAAAAATTAAAAGATTAGCTTACTTTTTAATTCATACACTATTAAAAATTCCTATAGAATTACCCGCCTCAGCTGAACTACAGATAATATGTAATTGCTTTATTTTTATCTTTTTCAACTTCAATTCCGAAATAATAACAATATCAACTTGATATATTCTTTTAGAATTATTCAAGTTTGCAGATTTTGAATGCCTTGTTTGCATCCTTTTCAACACCAATCCCATATTCATAAAAATAACCAAGTTTGTACATTCCTTATGAATCATTAATATCTGCCATATAAAATAATTGTAAACATTTTTAGTAAAAAATAAGCAAATGCTTATATTGAAATTTAATAAAAATCTATAAACTTTTTATAATATATACATTAAAATAATATATATCTTTTTATAAAATTTTAAAGTTTATTAATTATAAAAAAAATTTATACTTGTATACTTGTATATGTTATAAAATTTACCTGGGTAATAAAAATAATCTATTTTGATTGGTTGATTTTCTATATAATAAACTTTATAGTAAAAAATTATATCTAATCTCTAATTTTAATAAAATTATTACTGTTAGAATCACAAAAACCTACTCTACAAATTTACTTAGAAGCTTAAAATAGATTTAAGTAATAAAAAATTCTATAATTTAAATTACACAAAAAATATTTACCATCAAGTTTATATATAATTTTAAAATAGTACCCACTACCCTTAAATTTTACAAGAAAACTTGATCAACGAATTACTATGTGCTGCAGTAAATCGTATGATAGCGGACACTCAAGTAAGTTGTATTTCAATTAATGAGATAAAATTCTAAAGTTATTACTTTATAAAGACACTTCATTAAACATCTTGCTTTCATAGAATTTAAAAATGATAAATATTACAGGAGAAATTAAGAGCGAAGTAAAATCGATTTTTTTATAATAATTTAATATAGAACACAGATTCCAAAATTTTATTATGTATAAAAAATCTTTATTAGTGATTTTAACTATATGACCTGCACTATGTTTGTAAATTGATCGATAATCCCAATCGTCCAAATGTCCATGTCCAATGATTTGATTGGACATTTGTCCAAGTAATTATGGGCATGGACATTGGACAATGTTCATGGACTGTCCATGTCCAATAATTTTCTCGAACATATAGCTATATATAATATATTTACAAAATATCAAAATTTATTTTATTGATTTAATTTTTTATAAAAGCGGGTTTGGCCAGCAAGCATATATGTGTGCCATGTGTGCCATGTTAGTGCAGCCACTGAATACCAACTATAAATAGCATTTGCAAACGGGTGTTTCTTTATATCGTTATTACAAATGCTTTAAATCATATGCTATAAACTATAATCATTTCTCAGCCCTATTACAAACACTGCCATCTCGGATCGTACATATGAATTTACTTATCAATTAAGCGGCTTTAACAATCATTTGGTCTGAATTCTATTCTTCGTCAGGCGCATAACCACAATATGATTTTACAAATTCAAATAAATAGAAATGTGTCGAATATAATCGGTACATACTAAATTAAAATTGGTAATTGCTCCTAATCTAAAAATATAAACTCTACCGAATTTCATCTATACTCTTATCAACAATTCTAGTCCTAAATCTTATCCCAAACCTAAGATAACTGAAAAATGCGCTCCGGCATTAATTGCATTGTTCAAAACAAAACCAATCAATATCATATTCATATTATTTGCATTAAATATGAGAATATGTGTGAAACAGTAAGGTGAATGTCAGAGCTAAAGTGTATTGTCTTTAACAAGCACGTGTATATTTTTAACCTATCTATCCATAATACTTTGTTAAAAACCAAGAGATACTTTCTGACAATGCTGTTATAAAGTTTTGTCGCTTTTCCTTATTCCCTATTCGTAAAGATGTCGGTATTCTAAAATAACAACAAATAATTATTCGTTTATTCTTATTGATAAAAAGCATAGGAAAACAAGACATACTCAATTTGTATTGCATCAATAATTTGTTCCGCATGTCGTGACCCATATTTTTGTACACAGTAACCACCATGAAAATATTTTTCATCCCCAAGTGGATGTTGATGAATATGCGATGGAACAGTATCATAGCCATGGGACTGTAAACGACCACCAAGTGAAGTAGTTTTACCATAAAGTAAGTCGGCAAATTGGAGGTTATTCGATTTTCTAGTGTATAAAGCGCGAATACTTGATCCCGAATGAATCTCAGGGTTCGCATTGATTTGTGAGGTTGAAAGTGAAAGTATTTCAGCTGAAAGGACATAACCTATCTCAACAAAATGTTCTGGGTGAGTATGGCCTATAAAAAAAAAAACAATGGTTAAAATTGTTGTAAAGTAATATTTTTAAAATATAAACGTACCATGAACATCGACTAAAAGTCCATGACCAAAATTTGCTTCAACATCTTTAATAGCAGTCTGCATAAAATTATGATAATCGTTCCAAACAATCGATGTTATGGAATCTTTTCCCTCAACCCCTTCTTTTATTGGTCTATTGACATCAATTTTACTTCTCCCAAGATGATTAATGATTAAATAAGGTCTCCTTCCTTTAAATCGTAGTGTAATTTTATCTGCAAGCAATCTACCGATCTCTTGAGTCTTAAGATCATTAGATTTTACAACATTTGGATGGTTTTGTTTTCTATCAGGTATTTCAGGAGGAAACAAATGACCACCATGTGGAATCGAAATAATTAAAGGCAAATTTCCAGGGATATATTCACTATAATTCATGTTACCGAATATTGGATTAGCGTAAGTTCCATTAAATTTTTCATATTCTATTGGAGTGTCATCGTCAAGAAACCCGAACATTGAGATGTAAATAAGGGCAAGTAAAATTAAGCTCAATAAAGTAATGAGCTTAGGATTGCGTGTTAATGTTATATTTTGCTTCATTTTAAATTATTCTTATATAAATAGTCTTCTAATGATTTCTTTTAAGGTAGCTGCGCAACGCAGTTGCGCTAAAACTAGGAACGGGAAATTAATCTACTTACTACGTATCTCTTATGCATACGTACATAATAATTACCAATTTAGGCATTATAGTATATTCTGTGATCTCCGGAATTGTGTGCATAAGGGAAAGTCGGGTATTATGACGCAGGTGGGTATTGTGACCTATTTGTAGACCCATATCGGATATGTATAGTAAATTTTTTTAATCACTCGATAATGATAACGATAACAAAAAATAAACTTAATTTTGAAATATTTTGTTAAATTTAGCCAACGCATTTTGTATACCAAAATCCTTCTCTTTTCCCATGTAGGTTTTTTTTTTCTTTTTTATTATTTTGCTGAATATTAATAAATCTCGCTTTTAATGTCTTCTTTTGTAAAATTTATTTTAGAAAGTTGTAATTTAGATTCTTTAAGATTCGGTAACATGTTGGAATGAGTTTTCAGAACCAACTTGTTAAACATATCCTCAACTTGCTGCTGATGTACCATTATATAATAAAATTTAGTTATTACAAACTCATAAAGTAGTGGATAATTAAACAAGTTAGAAATAGATGTGTTATAAAAATGATTAAATTGTTTACAAAAAATTGAATTTAAAACAAAGAATAATTTCAACCCAAAGTCATTTAAATTATTATTTTTAATATTATTTTTAAGTTGTTTAATATATGTTATTTCTCTTTTAAATGATTAAAGAATTGTTGGTAAATTTAAAATGATAACTTTTTGCAAAAGAATAAGTAGAATTTTTTCTTAATTAACAAACTGATAAGAGTAATTTAAACCATTGAAATATTCATTTTTTTGAAATGCATTATGGTTTTTTTTATAGTTTTTTTTAATGAATCAAATAAGTTTTCAAATTCAGATTCATTTAATAATTCAAGTGTTTCAAATAATTTATTAAAAAAAAATTTATCAAAATTATTTATAGACTTAGTTAAAAAATTTATTTGTTCTAAAATTTTGTTAAATATTTTATGATTTTGCTAATCAGAAGATAAATTTATTCAGCTTTTACTATTAAAAATTTAGGGTATAAGATCTTGATCAGTAAGAAACATCATTAAAAAAATAAAAAAAGTATTGATCAAATCTTGTTAAACATTTTAATTAAATATTAAGTTTTTTGTTATTAAGTTAAATATAAAAGAGATATCAATTATTCAAATAAGATAATGCAATATTAGAATAGTTTTCTAATGCATTAATGAATCATACTATAAATTAAAAATGTAACTTCTTTCTTTTTAAATATTGCTTAATAGTTCATAATTTATATTTTTATTTATTTTTTATTTTTTGTTAAGATGACCTCTTGAGTTTTTTGACTTTATTTAACAATAGTAAATGTGGTTCAGTAAACTACTACAGAAAAAGCATACAATTGGCTATACATGTAACTTTTTTATATTACTTATTTAAGAAGTCCACCTAAAGGTTTCTTACCAAATAGTATACCTAACATCTCTGCTTGAATATTTTACTTTAAACTTTTTGAACTTGCAAATCTGTTAACTTCACTGGGTCATATCTAATGCTCAGATTATTGTCTCAACCTTAAAACTATTTTATTCTTGAGGTAAACCCTTCTAGAGCCTTTTGTATCTATTTTTACAGTTGATCTAGGTATTACTATGGCAGAATCAATACTTATGATTAGGGCTTAACCATTAAACTGCTATGTTCTTATAGAGTTCACTTAGACCTTAGCATCTACTTTATAGTATAACTCCAATACTTTAGTATATCTCTGTTTTTTTATTTGTCTTTTTATCAAACTCTTAATTCAGATAGTCATATAGAACTATGACCAGTTTATTGGTATATCAAGTCAGCCTGATATCCTTTTGCTTTAGTTTATTCTAATAGCCTAGTTGGTGGTATCTTCAAGACTCTCAATCTAGAGGTTTTTATTTATCTGACTACTATGATCAGATACTATGATCTTGGTATTCATTTTCCCAAATTAGCCTTTACAATAGGGTTATCAAAGATCCAGTTACCTTTTTACTTAGGTCTTTCTAAATAGATTTTTTGTTACACAATTTTAATAGATTTACATAATTACAAGGACTTATTTAGTGTTTGCACTATCCAATTATCAGTTTATATTTCTTCATATAACCACAGACCTTGTCCCAAAGGACAATATCATATGACTATTATATGAATGTCCTATGATTTGCCAGCTATACTGATGTGATTATTATTACAGATATCTTAATCTAATCATTAGTAATAGTTACTATAATATGAATATTACATAGGTGATTATTTAAATTTTTGCTATCAATAGGATTTAAATATCCAACTTACTACTTGGAAGGTTAACAACCTAATCACTTTATTAGGTTACTACACTTTGCATAATTTATATTTTCAACAAGTTTGTAATAGTATTTGATATTATAAATATCAATATTTAAAAAAAATTTATATAAATTCTGAATATATTTATTTTTTATATTCATTAGCATATTGTTATTTTTATTTTTATAACTATTATTAAGATATCTAATGCAATATAAAAGTTTATAAGAATATAACTTTTTTGAAAATCTCAATATATATTTAAAATTTTATTTTCAAAATTTATAAAAACAATATTAATTATATATAAAATATATCTAATTTGAATTGAATTAGAGTTTGCCAATTTTTAAGTTTAATAATAGTTCTATTTGTATTTTTAGACATATATATAATGTTGTTAGTAAGTCAAGTTAAGCATTTTTATATATCAAGTTAATATTATTAACAAGTATCAAAATCTAAAGTTATAATTATATTAGTATTATATTTTTTTAAGATTTTTAAATTAATTATACTTTTTTTTTTTAAATATTAAGATGAGTACTTGTGACTCAGGATTTTATTGATAGTACATTCAGCTAATAGTTGCATTACAACCATAGAGGGCAACTATGAAAAGAGTGTACAACTAGCCACTTGTATAACTTTAGTCATTGTCTAATTTAAGTAGTCCACCCAAAGGTTCTATACTAGCTGTCATACCTGGAACCTACTTGTAGGTTTCCTATTTAACTACTCTGTTTCTGTATCCATCCACCTATCTACATCTACCAAGATGCTCTGGTCGATACCAGTTCAAATATGCCATGATCACTAAGTCTTTAAAGCAGTTCACTCATATGGAGAACCTTTGACCTTGTACTAAACCTTCCAGAATCTTCTGTATC